CTAGATACGAGGTCGTGGCTGAAGGAGCCGTACTTGGGCATCTTCGACTCGTGGGAGGGCACCGACTGCTGCTCCAATTGGTATGGCATCAGCTGCGACCCGACCACTCGACGAGTCACAGACGTTTCCCTCCGAGGCGAGTCGGAGGACCCCATTCTCCAAAAAACGGGACGCTCAGGTTCGGGCTTCATGTCAGGTTCCATAAACCCTTCCATTTGCAAGCTCGACCACCTCACCACGTTAATTATTGCTGACTGGAAAGGCATCAGTTGGGAGATCCCTCAGTGCCTGGCTTCGCTACCCAACTTAAGAGTCTTAGATCTTATTGGCAATTCCCTGTCCGGAAAAATCCCACAACGGATAGGTAATCTCCAGAAGCTCACTGTCTTAAACCTCGCAGACAATAAGCTAAGTGGAGAGATCCCAAGCTCCTTGGTTCAACTGTCCAGTTTAAAGCATCTGGATTTGAGCAACAACCTTCTGACAGGGGAGATTCCTGCCAACTTCGGCAACCTCAAGATGCTTAGTCGCGCATTGCTGAGTCGAAACCAGTTAACCGGGAACATCCCCAGTTCCATGGGCAACATGTACAGGTTGGCTGATCTGGATTTGTCATTAAACAAGTTATCGGGTAGGATACCGGAGCAGCTGGGGAAAATGCGGGTGCTTTCTACGCTGAACTTGGATAGTAACAGGATTACGGGCGAAATCCCGTCCGTTCTGTTGGGGAATACGGGCCTGGGGATTCTGAACTTGAGCAGAAACGCACTTCAAGGCAACATACCGGACGTTTTCGGGCCCAAATCGTACTACATGGCGCTTGACTTATCCTTCAATAATTTGAAGGGTCCAGTGCCCAAGTCCATATCGTCGGCGAAATACATCGGGCATTTGGATATGAGCCATAACCATCTTTGTGGGCATATTCCGTTGGGATCACCGTTCGATCATCTTGAGGCATCCTCTTTCGACAGCAATGATTGTCTCTGCGGTAACCCGCTCAAGACTTGTTAATCCATGTTACCTTGGGGTTGGTAATTTCTTTTCTTTTCTTTTATTTATTTTTCGGTTTTATCAATGGAAATGTGATGATGTAAAAGTGGATCTAAGTGTGGTTAATCTCATGTAACCAATTTTAAGGTCTAATATCCTATACTATAGTATCCTATCCCATGTATATCATCTGTAAGGGTGTTTTAATTAGTTGAATGGAAGGGACAAAGATTATTGCAGCAGTCCCGTGGTGGATGCACCTGAAGAACAGCCAAAAGGTTTAAGCTTGAGATAGTGGCGTATCTTATCTTGTACTGGTATACTTTATTTGAATGCAACGCCATTGAGCTACTACTAGTTAAAAAGTTGAAGAATCTTGTGTTGGGGTCTTGGACAAGGAGATGATTTTAGTTTCAACAACTCTGAGGCAGGGTTTAATTATTAAATATAAAGGACAGACAAAGGGGAGTTGCATGCACGTGACTGAACGCATAAGATTCACAAAAATATTCCAAGATAAAAAAAGAAATGAGCTGCAAAGATGTCCAACTTTATGCTGCACTTTGAAAAATTGGTTGGATTGGAAATTGAAATTGGGATGCTGCTTCGCTTGCGAAAATGGAAGGAATTTCAGCAATTTAAGCCATGCCCGACAGGAAAAGGAGGTGATACACCAATGCCTATTCCCTAGATTTTTTAATCGCTTTTGGTTTCCCCCGCCTCCTCTCACATCCACATTAACTTTCGGCATACTATAGAGGAAGAACCTGCCATGCAATGAATGTATTTATGCTCCCAAAACTGGACAATTAGTAGTCCAGATTCCTGGAACCCCCACACAGGACCAATGGAAATGATCGGATAATGCATTCGGTCAAGTGCCTCCCCACCCTCTATCCTTTTGAACCTATCTTTCGGCACTCACACTCCTGTCAAATCCTCAACTTTCATCCACTCCAACATATTACTTCTAATTCTCTACTTGTCTTGGGTGTGGGATTTTTCATTCAAAGCAATGCTTTTTGGCAGGCAAGTTTAAGGCTTAGGCCCACAAAATTTGCAAAACTTCTAGTAAACTATAGAAATTCTCGGGTTGGAAATATAAATAAAAACTTGCAGTAAATCTGAAAAACTATAAGCATAGTACATTAACATTTGGTTTCAAAGAGAACAATAATTGATGATTTCAAAATGCCTTCCCACATATCACTTCAAGATATACTAAATCCGGATGTTCATCAGATTTACTGTAAAACTCACACCTAGAAAGGAAGACAACAATAAATATATCAATCCTAACCAGTTCACTAATTCCAAGCGTTCATTTCTTTTTCAATGTCTGAAATGAAGGAAGCATGCATAAAGATATTTATTTTGGGCGTTTCCTATTGGTTTGAAATAGGTTGTAGGCAATAAAAGCCTAGCAGCATCTACAAAAAATTTGAATGGCATCCCAAGCATCTCCCTCCATGTTCTATCTACAACCTAAAACTTTACTGCAAGCATTCACGCCTTCTCTACCAGTAACATTCATTCTGCTAATGCTTGAATGGTTACTTCATGCAACCAAGGTAGCTCAAAATTCTAGACTTACAGACTGAAGACTGAAATATGCCTTGAATGATTATTAAACCTAAATGAAAAATGCTTAGTCTTGAGCTCAAGAACAAGAAATCACATTTCAGACTCAAATCCAATATTCCAAAATCCCTCAGGGGTCATAGGAGGAACATACTTATATCGGTGCCTAGATACACCATCATGATGCTCACAGCGGAAATTCTTCATGTGATCTTCATTGTCCTGATCTCCATTATTAAGAACAGCATCATAGAATTTCTTACATTGATTGCATTCAAATCCTCTCAACTTTTCCCTCTCTGCTTTCTTTCGTACTGGTTCCACATACTTGAAACTTCCTTTGTCAGCCATTTGAAACTGTATCTCTTGTTTTTGTGGGCTCTTGTCAACACTAACATCCTGTGTCTCATCATCTGGGCTATCAACATTCATGTCTTCCGGAACTGGAAGACCATCAGCTTCTTCCTTCATGGCTTTCTTCAGGTTTACTCTGATATTCTCAAGCGGAGTATCAAGAAAATCATCATGGGGATCATGCCCAGCTTGGCACTGATGGGACCTAGTATCTCTCCAACCAGAAACAGGTCGCTTTGTACCAGCTATAGGATTAGATTTCACACTTGAGGGACATTTTGGAGTGGGAAACCTGGAAGTAGGAGAGTGGGAGCCAGAGGTTTCAACTGATTTGGCCCCTTTCCCATTCTCTAAGGCAACATTTAAACCAACATCCTTCATTCCTTTAGTGTCGAAAGCAATCATTGGAGAATTTGAAATTTTATTTTCATCATCTGCAATGGGGTACAAAAGAAAGTAGCTAAGAAAACTCTGACCAATCTAAAAGGAAAAAACCAACAGACGTAGCAGTTGCAGCAAGTTTTTGGCTACATGTTGCCTCAAATTATTGGGCATTTCTAACAGACAAACTTAAACCACAAATCAGCAAAACTAAACCAAAATAACTTGAGAGCCTTGAGCAAAGAAAAAGAAAACTTGTTTTAAAATAATATAGCAATTATCAGCAAATAACTACGAAGATCAAGCATAGGCCTAAAAAGAAGTCAAAATAAGCAGCAGAAACTTGCCAAGAGAAGGTTTGGGATTGTGATGATGCCTTGCTGAGTCGCTCTCATCTTCCAGTTTATTTGGAAAAGTCTTATTCTCCGTAGTAAGGCCATTCTTTCTGCAAAGGAAGTTATATTGAGATTTTAGCCTTTTGTAAGCATCAAGGAGATCTCTTTTTTTCTTCTTCTCAGCCATCAAGTCAGCGGATTTTGATTCAATCTGTTTTAGTAACTTTTCATATGAATCCTTTTCTTCAACTGCATCATCACCACTTTTTCTAAGTTTGGCCTGCAGTTCATTGACTTTCTCTTCCAGAACTTTTACTTTGACCAGTAGTTCTTTGTTTTTCTCCTGCTCCTCTAACTGTTGTTTATTCTTTAACATTTCTGAGCCTTTTAAATCAATTTGTCTAAGCAACTGCTCCTGCAATTTTCTTCCTTCCTCAACTTCTTTTGTCTTCTTCCTAAGTACCGCATGGAGTTCATCATAACTCTCCTTCAATTTCTCAAAATTGGCGACAACTAGCTTCTTCTCATTGTTACAATTGATCAGCTGCTCTTCATTATGCATAATATCAAAGGATTGCAATTCAATCTTTTTAAGTAGATTTTCCGACAACTTCTTCCCGTCAGCAACCTCCTGAGTCTTTTCTCTAAGCTCCTGCTGGAGTGCTTCAACCTTTTTCTGCAGGCTGTTCAGATCACTCAGAAGCACATTTGTTTTCTCTTCATGCTCTTTTACTTCTTTATTCTTATTAGCTATGACAGAGGCTTTTGTCTGAACCAACTGCACTAATTTGTTCTGCAATTCAATTCCTTGATCAACTTCCTTGGACTTCAGCATAAGTTCCCCTTTTAGCTCCTCAATTCTGAGCTCTTGACATCTTAGTTTTACAAGAAGTCGACTCATTTTCTCTTCATGCTCCTTTACTAGCTTTTCCTTCTCAAGCGTGAAAGACTGGTTCTCTTCCAGGGCCTTCTTTTTTTCGAGTTCAAGTTTCTCTATTTGGAGTGTGAACTCATTTTCCTTCTCCTTCCATGCATCTTCTGCAGCTTTCTTGATCTCGGTGTATATTTTCTGCAAGCCTTTAGATTTTAACTGGAAATTCGGGTAGAGCTGGCTGCAAAAGATGTACTCTATCTGAGAAATCCTGTCCTTTGCTTCCTGAATTGTAGCTACTAGTATAGTGCTTAACCCAGAGATATACTTCACACTATCGCTGTCAAAGGGAAGCCCCAATTTTGGAGATTGTTCATGGTGCCCCTCCATTTCCGGATCTAACATTACAAGAACAGCCAAGTCATCATTGTTACAGTTCAACACAAAATATTGTAGTGAACTTTACATTTAACAAGGCATTATTGTGAAAGGGGAAAATCCATTTCCAACAATAGCAGACTCATTCAGCAAAAGACTTAAAAAGCCCTCTCCTTTGACGTCAATATTCAAAGTTTTCCCATGGAATCTATAACCTTGAATCCTTAATATCAACTTTTTTTTTTAAGAAAAAAAAAAACAGAACATCGACAAGTATTAAAAAATCCAAGAGACGACATAAGACCAAAATGAGATGGAAATATAGAGTGGGAAGTTAAACACCTGAACTTCAAAGAAAAAGACATGAATTCGAACTCTTTAACAACCTGGAGCCTCTATTTAGCCAAACTAGAAAGGGTTAAAGCCAACCTTACACGATAAAATGTCAAATGAAGGGATAAGGCCAGAAGTGGCTTACCTTTGTTGCAGATGAACTGCTAGCGCAATTAGCTACACAATAAGCGTGAAAAAAATAACTACAAGACGAATACAAGCACAACCAAACATGGAACTCAACAAAATGCATTGAAATTACGAAATTGGGAAACTTGGTACCAAAATCACAACTTACCTTAGCTTGAATTCAGCAACCAAACAACAAAAGAAAGCAACGAATCGCCTTCGCCTATATCAACATAGAAACAAAAATGTCAGCGAAATCGTACAAATCCAGAAGAGAGGAAGTTCTGAATGCCCTCATTTTCCTTGGGAACAAAAGGAAATGACGTAAAACAAACAAAACAAAAAGCAAAGAAGGAGATTGAAAATGCCTTGGAAAAATAGATAGGCTGAAAGTGCCGGCCGGCGCGGGAGTTGGGAGTCAAATTTGAGTTGAGTCGCAGTCCCCCGCCGATTTTGTAAGCTGCTGCTTCTAAAGCTTGGCGGGGAAGCCTTTTGGAATTAGAATGTGGCGCTGGATCACAGGCCCAAATGACCGAAGAGAGCACTCCTGGACCTTTGATGGGCCATACATATCGTTTTGGCCCACCTTGACCCTTTTTCTTTTATTTTTCAACTAATAAATTACAATGCTTAAAATCGTTGAATATATATTTGTGAATATTAACAATTTAGTTGGGTAGTTTTATCGAACGATTATTGCTTGTCAAATGCCCTTAAGTCCAATGAAATTGGAGGTACAAAGTCAATTCGTGTAATAATGAACAAAGTGTTAAACAATACATAAGATGTCATACCAACATTGTGAGAAATTCCTACAACCATTCTCCTGTAGGCGTGGGTTTGCATCTCTCACCCAAATTTCATTTGCACTCTTCACAAACACAAGACCGTGGAAGCACACTTACAGATTTTCATTTGCCCATGCAACACCACAATCACAATATGTTTAAACAATTGACTTGAATCCCAATGCCCCGAAAACAAATCAGAGTAAATTTAAGGGGATACCCACCATTCCTCCTCCGATTGGTTTGTGACAGGTTAACATCTGAGCAGGCAATACATACAATGGTTAACTTCGTGCCGAAAAGCACCAAAGATCCATTGTACCAAGTAACACATCTCTCAATCAACCTCATTGTAAGACAAGAATGAAAATATATTTCTCAGATGAAGCTTGCCACATATTTAAGTACCAATTAAAATCACAATAAGTTCCCACCAGATTCGAACACAAAAAAAAACAGACCAAAATATCTGAACTAAATAGAAATACCCAAAATTTCAAATTACTAATCAAAGATCCAAGTAGGTAGTTACTTCAGTCTTCTTCATCAATGACCTTGGTTCCCAACCCCTTCAAACCCTCTGGAGGGATCTCTGCAACAGTTACAAGAGAGAAAAACTCCTCCTTTGCATCCTCTTCATCGTTTCTCTTCCTTGCAATGCGGACACGAACTCTCCTTGGCACACTTCGGATCCCACGGCTCCATACTTGCTTGTTGAGCTTTACATCAACTCTGACATCAGTTGTCCCCATAGCCTTCTGGGCAAACTTCCTAATCTCCTTTATGGCCTTTGGAGCCTTCTTCTTAAATGTGCTGTGCAAAGTTGTTCCAATTTTCCAGATTACATCGCATAACCATAATCTAGAAGCAATTTTAAAAGTGGTGTAATATCTATCAACTGGTCCTAATTGGTGCTCAACAGTGAATTTTTTTTCTGATTCAAGTGCATGCCAGGCAGAATAAACTCTGTTGCCTATAATTCAGAAAGACAAAACTGTTCTTTACAAAGAAATAAAGCAATCCAACCAACCAAAAATATCAGAAAGTTACACCCTAATCAAAAGGCCAGAGCTGAAGATGGTTGGGAAATTCTGTATCCTAAGGCCACATGATTATATCCTTCATAAATTGACCGCTAATAATCCAAATTGAGACATAAAACTTCGGAGAAGAGAAATCCCACCAAACATCAGGAGCAAGCAACTAATCAAACGCTCCAGATACATTAAGAGCAATTTCTGAGCAAGAAAAAGCTCATTGAGACATCCATCACAATAACAAACATAATATCAGCTGTACACAGAGATTTAATACTATATCAGAAGCAGCAGAAGATTTCAGCAACAAGGATATTTAAGCAAAAAGGCACAAAAGGAAAGAATGCAAGGCGGCAACACGATTTTGAGATCCAAAATGAGGCTAACCATCACATTATTATGTAGAGAAAGAAAGGAAAGAATGTTACCATCCATGCAAGCGCTTGTGAAGGTTGATGGTGTATTCTCTGGTGACCACCTCCTCCTTTCTTCCTTTGCTTGCCTTGTCTACCATTTTCTTTAAGCTGCCGTCCCGATCTCCAAATCAGAACAACCTGTCTCTCTCTCTCTCTGTGGCCGCTGAACCAAACCCTAGTCGCACATATAGTAGCAAGCATGACAGTCCCCCGCCCTCTACGCTAAAAGGACTTTATTTTCTGTACAATTACTTTGATGCCCTCTATCAGGCTAGATGTCATTCGGCTCAACGTAAGTCTTTACTCTTACCCATTAATTATAATTACAAAAAGGAGTCAGCCAAGCCCAACGTAAAATGGGCTTAGAGTCCAAAAGGTGTGCCGACGGTTTAAGTTGAGGGCGAAACCATCGACGCTGCCTGCAAGCAAAGCGGGAAAGGAAAGGAGCATTGCTGATTGCTGATTGCTGATTGCTGATTGCTGATTAGAATTCGAGTGAGTATAAAAGGCTAGGACACTCATCTTGCTCTAGTCTCCTAGATCAACTCTCCCCCGTAAGTGCCCTTTTCTTTTTCTTTTCCCTTCTTTTGATTTCGAACCAGCTGCTCTGTCAGATTTTGTTATGAGTTACCCACTGCTTCGTTGGTAAATCTGTAAATTGAGCACCTTTACTTTGTTTGAAGTTTTTGGGTTCTGTGGTTTTCAGATTTGGGTTTCTGGGTTCTTTGGTTAAGTAACCTAGAGTTACATTTCCGACGCTGCACAGACTTTAACTGACAGCTGCCAAAACTTCGCGGGATATGGTAATTTTGACTCTCTCTAATGCTTAAAACTTTATTCTCAGTATTTGCCCATTAAGCGATTCGGACTTATTTTTCTTCCTGTACACTTTGTTGAATTTTCAAATATTATTGAAGAAAAATTAACTTAGAATGGATGATTATGTTTTCAGTCAGGCAGGAAAGAAACCGTCTTGGATTTGGCAAAGTTTGTAGACAAAGGTGTTCAGGTGAAACTCACTGGTGGTAGACAAGGTCTGTTGCTGAGCTTTCAATTTCTTCTTTTAATTTTTCTTCAGTCTGAGGTATTTTTGTGAAGATAAAAGGATTAATTAGGTGATCGAGACTTAACTGCTATATGTAGATTTTACAACTGAAAATTTCCTCCCTGCTTGGGTTTAGGTTATGAGGAATGGTAAAGACTTACATCAGGAATCTGATATTTTATTATCAACTAATTGTAGCTTCTAGGCTCTAATGTCAAGTATAGCTTATTGTCACGTGCCCTAGAGCTATGCAAGTCATTTTCTTTCTCCCTGTCAGATGTTTGATCTAGTTTACGTACTATCACCTATTTCATGAGCCATTTCTTTTTTCTGTTCCAGTCACAGGGACCTTAAAAGGATATGACCAGCTACTAAATCTCGTCCTGGATGAAGCTGTAGAATTTCTACGCGGTAATTGCCTCTATGGCACTTTGTACACATGCTTGTTTGATTTTATGCATCCAGCAAGCTTTTAACTATCTTCTTTGATGATCATTGGATGCCTTGTTGTTCTAAACTTGGCTGCTTGTGGTGTTATTTGGTCCTTTCGTGCATCCATTCTCAAGGCCAATGTCCAGTGTTAAGTAGATGTTAAGTATATATACCTTTGTAGCAATTGTGCAGTTTCATGTGAGTATTTCACTTGTTTTCCTCCCTTGAATTGCTTTGGCACTTTCTCCGCTTCCTCCAAAATATTCTTCTAAGTCTAGTGGCAGTTCTCTCCATACTGCGAGAAGTGAATGCTTCTTTTGTAATCTAAGAATAAATGAGAAAAGAATAGGGTATACACAACTAGATTTAATTTGCTCTCTTAAATGGAAAATTGCAATTTGCAGGATGATTGTTACTTACTACCATTTATTTTGGCATCAAAAGCACTGAGAAAACAGACCATGGAAGTCTGTGCTAATTCTGTAATCTAAATTGCCTGTTTAACGATGCTGAACGCTTTTAGGCAATTTGTTACCACAAATTTTCAGGTCAACAATTAGGCATTCTTATTCCCACTAGACTGATACTTATTGTTCTATAATTCTATTTGTGGTGTAAGCTATTAAGAGTCCATGGACAATTGCAAACTGAAATTTGGAACTTCTGAGAGGAGTTGGTACCTGCTTTTTCTGAACTATGTGACCTCTCCTGTCCGAAATTTTGAGAAAATTTTTTATTTGTTCATGCGTCTGAAGTACTGGATGAGACTGCAAGATTAATTTGCTGTGCTGTTTTTGCATTATTTTGCAGATCCAGATGATCCATTGAAGACTACTGATCAGACCAGGCGTCTTGGCTTGATAGTATGTTCTTTCTTCCTCCTTCTGCTTCCCTTTCCCTTCTCCGCCCTTTTTAGAGTTTATTATTCTATTTTATGGTGCCAAAAGGTCCAAATTGCATATGGGCTTCAAACTGGTTTGCAGAAAGATTGAGCCTGTGTCTTTTTTATCTGCCACTAGTTATGTGGGCAAAAGATACAAGTGCAGTTCTAAGAGGTCATTGCTTTTAACTTATGGAATTTTGGATCCCCTAGATATCCAGATCACTTTTGAATGTTATCTGAAATACATGTGAGGAAGATGTGCTTGCCAAAATCCTGAGGGTTCAAGGGTTTGTGGGATGTGAACACAGACACTGGTCTTTAACTACTCTTAGTAGCATTTGAACAATGTGTCAAATATTGCATGCAGGTTTGTAGGGGTACAGCTGTTATGCTCGTGTCACCAACTGATGGTACAGATGAGATTGCTAATCCTTTCATCCAGCCAGATGGAGCCTGATTTGTCTTTAATTTGTAGTTCTAACATTTAAGTCTGCATGTGCGTTTTATCAGTTCAGCTTACTTTTTCTTCATAAGCTTCGTTACTTTGGAAAATATGGATGTCTGCATTGAGCTTGAACTATGCATTTAAATATCATGTTCTATGAACTAATTGGCAATTTGTTATGTTTGTTCCCTTGGATGCCCATTTCTGTCTTTTTGGGCGATTCTGGATGCTATTTGTTTATGTGGAAGTGTTTATGTAAGGGTGCACTGCAGAAGTTAGGCTGAAGAATGCATACGGAAAGTATATAAGCGACGACCCTGAAGCAATGGAAAATGATTTCGGCTTTACTTTTTCTCTCTCTTTGCAGCTAAAGAAGACCAATGGGTTGTCTTAAAAGGCCTGCCTTACACTAACATGTTAAGAACAAAACAACAAGGTAAAAAGGACAGAATCATGGATTAGCCGATGACTCTCCTATCTAGCCAGTAAAAAGGTCCGGGATAAGTAAACCCATTTGGGAATAGGTGAGTTTTGTGAACAAACAGAATTGGTACCATTCATGTAGTTAGGATTAACTATTGCATTTAAATCAACTAAAAGAGATGAAGACAATACCATCCTTAATCCCCCAAACTAATATTATGATTTCAATGATAGAGCAATGTAGGCGAGAGTGATATGATTTGATTCCAACAGAAAGTCCCTTTGGGGCTCAACTATGAATGCAAGTGGATGTTAATGGGCCCATATTTTTACAATAATATCTGCCATTTTCATTGATCGGCCCCCTATCAGCAGAAAATTGGGGAAAAAAAGGGGCACCTCATGGTTATAGTATTTGCTTTGTAAGTAGCAAGTAAAACAGTCCATATTTGGGGTATTAAGGGGAAAAGAGTCCTTGTAAAGGGAAAGATTCTCATCATTCGGCGTCCATTCTCCACTTTATTTTCTCGAGACAGATCAAAAAGGAAATTAAAACAAAGAAAAGCAAGTATTGGATGGTCCCAATCATAATGTATAATAATAATAATAATTGATTCTCGTTAATTATTCTATATTGTTTTGTCTGACTAATACAGTTTAAGTATTGAAGGAATTAGTGAAAAATGGGAGTGGCTCATAGTCATCTCATGCTTGGTCTGACCATTTTTGCCACTTTGAGATTCCTTGTTATGAGTCATCCCCAACACTAACCAAAAATGGGGTTGGTGCTTATCTCTTAAAGATTCCCTTCATCCTCAGAATTTTCCAATAAATATCATCACATTTGGTAAACTTAATTACGATTTGCTCCAAATGTTTAAGATTTAAATAAAAGGAAAAAAAAATTCAAAAGTGTTGATGGATGCATACCTCTCCCATGAGAACGATAACATGATTCATGCATGAGTTGTAAAACACAAGACACTAGCAGATTCCAAATGGCAACAAAAGAAAGGAACAAAAGGGCGTGGTTGTTGATCCTAAACTCCTTTCCCTAAAGCTTTGTCCTCTATAACTAACGCTGCACAAAATCTTTATGGCTGCTTTCCACACATTAATCAAAGCTCTTACTACTTGTTTGTGCAACAATAATATCAAACTGCGCATGCTTTTCGCTATTTCCGTAGCCTGCAACCACATCATCACTTTTATCACATGGTTACATTTTCATAGTTTATAGATATTTAAACCCATGATAAATATTTTAAATTCGAATTTAGGGTTTATTTCAATAGGAAAAAAAAACGACAAAATATATTGCTTACGGTGTGTCCTAATTGTTTTGGAATTATACAGGAAATTTGAGTCCATAGTTAATTTCAATTAGAAACAAATCAAAATGGCATCATACGTATTTGACAGTGACACCATATGAGGGCTATTTGCCAAAAATTGACGCCTACGGCAAACCCTGCAGTTAGATCTGCATGATTAATATAATAAATAGATACTCTTTGAGGTGATTTATTAATTAATACCATATGAAAACGATATATAAATAAATTTAAATTTAGAGTTATTATTTTTCATGTTTTAAATGTATTGATGTATTTAAGACACCTTATTTTCTTGCCTTAAAAGAATTAAAATTGTGTTATTATATCAATTCATATAATATGACCCCGTTTAATCTATTTATTTCAATTTTATCAATCGTATTTAATGAGATTATGGTATTACAAGTGTCTTATAATATTAAATTAAATCTATTAAAAGAATATGTTAAGTATATCATATTGTGTAATTTGTATAATAAAAGTATTTGAATATATTTTTAGAATATTAACTTGTCTAAAATAATTGAATCATGTCCAGATTTACTTATATAATTATAACATCATGATACAAATTATTAGGTGAAGAAGAAATTTTTCTTTCTTAAATTGAAAATGAAATTGCCTTTCGCACCATTACATTTATTTCTATTATTTTTGTCCCGTCTCCCCGTGGTTGGGCTCTCACAGCTTTTCAGGCCGAGAAAGGACACCCAACTTGGTCCCTCCGGTCGGTCCCACTGTTCTTGTTATTTGACAACGTATACAGGCGCCACCATGAACGTCAGTGTGCAACCAAACTCTCATTCAATCACAGCCGTCAGATCATCTTCAGATCACCACTCCCTATCTGTATTCCTCTGTCCCTGTGTATCTTTTTCGTATTCTATTTTTTCAACAACTACAACGCAACCAATTAACCTACGCAAATGTTCCCGTCACTCTCACTCACACCCAACTTTACAGCTTTTCTTTTGTACTTGCTCTATACCATTTATACGTGGCTGTTCATGAATGGACTATGCAAAACGCAAGATCATGTCAAAGGCAAACACATCACGATATTTTGCCCCCACTATCCCATAAAATCTCGCGATAGATAACAGCACCTGTCATTTTCAAGAGGGCCCCATGTCCTTTTATTTTATACATGGACAATTACTAAATAAAACCTTCCATTTCCAGTTGCAAATAGGCAATCGCCCCCGAGGGTTATCAAATTGACCTTCCACGCCCAACGTTTCCATCGAATTTACAAACACATGCCATTCGTATTATGCTAGTAGTAACAACAATTTTTATCACAAAACAATCCAAGCATATGAAGCAAAAGCTGGCTAGAATAGAAGATCTGCGTCGTGGAGGTCAAGCTAACACAAACATAAATAAGCCACAATAATCTTTCATTTCTCAATTAAAATAAACAAGTAAAATGAAAAATGAAATACTATAGATTGATCGGACATGAACAATCCGAAGAGAGAATATATCTTCTTAATCTCCAGTAATCTTGATGTGAAGATTTTGGTTGACTCTTTTCTCTCTCTGTGAAACGGAATCTTTGAGATGTCGGCATCTGTTCGGACGAGATGAAGAGATCGAGCATGGATCTCCACAACTTGCTCAAATTTTCACGTCCGAAAATGATCCAATATTTTAATTTAATTTAATTTCATAACATCAAACTCTGATAATCTTGGCTGCTTTAACCACGGGATTTTCTCTAGCGATAGCCTCGCGACCCGCTGTCTTGTAGTCGTAACTGCAATCGTGTCGATCCGAGTACCGGTGCTCCGCACAAAAAAGCTCCCCGCATCGACACCGAAACCCGGTCAACCCCACGCGTTTTCTGCAACCGGAACATCGGTTCACCACCTTCTTTTCCGCAGCCGCAGCAGGATCGTTTCCTGATCGATTCCATGCAGTGGTCCGACTATTCGTTATCGTCGCAGCCGTCGTAGGCGGAGAAGAATCGGATCGGTTCTGCTGTGAACGAGACGGGGTAGATCTCGAGGATTGGTCGTCGGAGAATTTCGTAATTGAGGCTCCACCTGCAATAGCCCCACCGGAGGCGGAGGTGGCGCTGGAAGACGAGGAGGGAGAAGAGGAGGACGTGGCGGTCGTGGCGTTAAAACACTTTTGGCACATGTTGTTGGTGGCGGGATTCCCCGTAACCCCGCAGTTATTGATGCATAGCGTCAAGGTTTCAGGTACCTTGAACTCGGTCTCTTCCTTCTCGGTTCTTTGAGCCATTTCTCTCTGGCTTGTTCTCTACCAGGATCGAGAAAACGATTTCAAGGGGATAGAAATAAGGAGAAAGAAAGAGAGCAGAGACCCTGTGTTTGGGTTTGCTTTGTGTGGAGAGAGAAAAGACGGGATGAGAGGGTTTGGCAATTGGCGTTAGGAAGAGGAGAGAGGGGATTTGAAGGGATTGAGAGGTCGGTAATGGTGATGGAATATGGGCCTCATAGAGACGCGTATCAAACATTGTTCGTCATCCCTATTTACAAAAATAACCTCGCGACTTTTTGCCAACTTGCGTCCTCCCTCGCCCTCACCCTCACCCTGACCCTGGAGGGGTGGGGGGCTTCTTTTCTACTTTGCTTCTTCTTCTAGATTAGTTCTTTCTGACGTGTTAATCGTCATTATCGAGATATTATAAAATGCGGTCACGCTCATTTACTCTCGTGGGGCCGCTGCCCCATCCGCTAAGATTTCTCGCAAGACTAACGTTGTTTATTAGCAAATTACTAGTAGGTGTATCAAGTAAGAGTTGTGGAAAAAGGGCAAAAAAAAGGGATAGGTTAAAGAGAAACTAATATTAAGGTACAAGGCTGTTTTTTGAAAGGGATACAGCAAGCACTAACATTTGCTTTCCCTCTAGGAGATATTTTTTTATATTGAATTCATTGCATGTAAAAGAAAAAGCGACGGACAATTACAGGAAAGAAAGAAGAATTCCGAGAATGGCACTGGTTACATGAACATAGAAGGTCACGAAAAGCGATGGCGCAATGGCATTTGACAGATTTGCTTAGCTGCATGAAAAATAAATATATCAATCAATCTAATCTTAGCTAGCTTAAAATTCAAGCCATCTCCTTCCACCGAGGCACATCTCTTTCTCTGCTTTCTGGCTGGCTGGCTGGCTGGCAGGCAATCATCCACAACTTTACTGTTCTCTTCCAATTCTTACCCAATTTTTATTCAACGTCGGAGTATTCATGCTCAAACTAATTAGTACTTAAACAGTGGAGGTTGATAAATTCAAGTTCTTTTTCTTTTGTTGAATTTCTATGAATGGTAGTACTACTTCGTTTTCAAATCATATGGTTGGTGCGTAAAGCATATGAAACTTCCAACGTGGCTTGGATAATGATTTTTTATTTTTTATTAATTGGTTTCTTTCTGGAAAACAATTTATATTGTTAAAATAAATGAATTTTTTGACAAAAATATGATTAAAATTTTGTAAAATAATTATTAAGACGTATATTTGATTTGTTGTAGATCACCATTTTATATATGTATATATAATAAAGAAGAACCAACAAATGCTCAAAAAAAAAACAAATAGTAGTGTATTAGTTTAATCCTTCTCACAACAATATCTACATCTTCCTTCATTAACCACAAACTAAATTAATTAGCAAATACAGGGATTTGAAAAATTAAGCTAAATTCAATTAAGAAGAATAAATTATCTGATTACACCACTAATTTTAATTGCGAGCTTGAATACAATGTACACTGATTTCCTAATGTCGCCACCGTGTTGTCACGAGACTTTTTCACGATGAGAGGGTATAATGGGAAATTGGGTACAAGATGGTACCCCACAGGGGAGGGCAACGGTGACAAGGGCAATCCCTACTACAGGCTTTAAGCCGCCCAATCTGACCGTCCTCGCGGCCCACCCCCGCATATCTTTTCGACGACGTCGCTTTCTCTCCCTGTCCCTCTAGCTGGGTTGGTCCACAGGTGTGCACGACACGCGTCTCTGTTTCACGCTGACCCCGTTCCCTTCCTCTCATTTGATTCGTGTGAGCGAGCGCATCAACTTGGAACATGATGAAAACGAGTCTAATTTGGCCTTTTTATTTGTTTAATTCAACTTTCTTCCAGCTTTCCTTGTTTCTTTTTTCGTTCGGTTGGCGCACATTGTTTGATCCTAAAAAATGACGAGAATTTTTTAATAATGATTTCATAAATTGAAGTTTGTGACACTAATTAAAATCACAAACTATATTCATAAAAAGATTATACTCTTTCTGTTTTAATATAACAAAGTGAATTAGTCGATTTATATATTTCAAATAAGGCTATGTTTCTGCTATATAGACTAATTGTGATGTTGTGTATGCACGCAATGATAATAAGAATGATTTTATAGTTAAGTGTGAAAAAGAGGAACTTTGATTAGTATATTTATTAATAAAAAATAATAATTAAATGATGAATAGGGTCAAACTCGTATTTAATTATAAAATAAAAAGTTTAATCGACTTTTTCGGAACTTAATCTAGTGAAATTCAGGACACATTTATTTGTAATTTTCATGGAGAAAATTTAATTACTATCTAATCAAAACCAAGGCCACTTCATATAAAAAATCAGACAAACAAGAGGGACAAAAAATCATATACTTATAGTTCTTGTTACTGTATTTCCTTTGGAAAAAGGGGATTGTGACCGCTTCCTTTAGGAGGATGTACGCGGCTGGCTATACAAAAAAGAGAAAATTAGTCGCTGGACGGCTACTAGTGGGGCCACAGCTTGACTCGGTCAGCAGATGTGGACCAGTCATCGGATAGTTAACGATCTATTACGTGGCAAAAATCGCAAGGCAGGATGGGGATTGAAAGTGCATGATCGCCCACACCAAAGTAACGCCCACTTTCCAGTTTTCCTCCACGAGCTTCATCCCGAACACGAAATCGTGATCAAGAATTTAATATAGAGTAAAACAAATCATAATCAAGATAACGAATTTAGATTATGTACAATATACATGCAGTCCAACATCAGATTTCATATCAGGATACTGTTTTAATTCCCTTATTTATGAATTAATAATTTTTTTTAAATGACAAATGATCATTTAATAGAACCATGAGTAGAGTTTTACATTTTCAATCAAATATTTTAACTTTTGTTTTAAATTTTGAATTCTAAATAAAAAAAATAATGCCCAAAATGATATTAATATAAAAAATTTACTAAACATATGGCAAAAATTATTCTATAAAAAAAACGCCACTTGCCAATTGATTGCAATTTGCTTACATATATTTTTAATTAATTCTTAAATGGCCAAAAAATACTAATTACTTTTTAAATTATAGCTATATAAATAATATAAAGAAAAAGTAAAGAAAGCAAAGTAAGTAACGCAAGAAGTAACAAAAATAAAAATATCTGATGCCACAAAATAAAGACAAGATCCATTAAACCAGCCAAATATGCGCGCAACATAAACATTCTCACCCACCATCGGCTGATAAGATCTCATGTTCCTTCCTCCCGTGAGACGGACGCCGGACTCTGCATGGAACATGGAAGAGACTGCTAGAGGGACTGGAGACCCTACTAGATTTTATCAAGCTTGTTGGCCTTGAGAACAGGGTTGGCTTTGGCAATGGCATCCCGGGCAGCACACTGATAATCGTAAGGGCAGTCGTGTTTGTCAGAATAGCGATGAACAGCACAAAAAAGATCTCCGCATCGGCAAGTAAACCCTGTCAAACCAACACGTTTCCTGCAGACACTGCACTTATTTGGACCCTTTGTCACTTCCTCGTCACGACCAGTGTTAATAGATATAGAAGCAGAGTTTGCCTGTGCTGCAATGGCTGTCGACTTGACTGTGGTAGTCTGTTGGTCTACCGCAACAGAAACAGACTCATGGTTGTTGCCAGGGCTGCCATCTAATATACTCCCATTCGGTGACAAAGCAAGTTTATCTCCCTGTTGCTTCCTTACCAGGTCCTTGTGGCATTTAGAACACAAGTTCATGGTAGCTGCAGTTCCAAAGAATCCACAGTTGTTGGCACAAAGTTTCGGAGCTAGGAATCCACGTTGGTTCTGCTCCATTTCGTCTTTTAAGCCTATATTCCTGCACCATAGTTGCTTTCAGGTTGCAAAAACAGAAATTCATATAGAACAGATTAATTGATTACAGACCATAAAACAAACTTTAGCTTGCTTCTATCGTACATAATAATCAGCAATTTTGTTTGAATTTAGTAGTATAACATATAGAAACAAGTGAAGCGTGCAAGACTTCCCGTTGGAACCAAAACAGAAAAGGAAGCTTAAAGAAGGATCATGCTATTTTTACAGAGAATCGAGCAATTCCACGTCAAGGTTCGATGCCTATCCCAAAGCACCAAAGATTAATCACAATGAATCAAAAGCACATTCTATTTTCTAACTTGTACCAAGTAACACGCACTGTTACAAACGAGATTGAGTAACTCATCATCTCAAAAAGCTTAGGTAAACAATATTATAGGAAACTTGAGAAGATCAAGGAGCCACCGCTGACGGAAAATTTGGACAGAAGTCGCAGCCAGTTTGTTGCAGGCTTAGCTAACAAAGAGGTAATAAATCATTTAAGGTAAGTATGACACGCTTACTTCGTACCACTACTACCTAAAAGCCCCCTCCCCTCTCCCTCCCCCCCCACCCCCCCCCCCCCAAAAAAAAAAAAAAAAGGATCTTGGAAAGATTCATATAAATAAAACAGATCCTAAACAATAGAATTTATAAACTATAAGGCCAGAGTTAATCAATACCTGTTGCTGGCGAGGAAATCTCGAAGGCAAGACCTCTGTCGCCAGAGATGGTCTTTCAACTTTGAAATTTCCCCTGATTTTTCATCCAAACCACAATACAGAGAGAAATAAGACTTAATCATTCAGACTAAACGAAGCAAAAAAACTGTCAAGTGTGAATCCAGAGAAGAGAGAGCAGACACACCCACCCCAAAGCAAAAGGGCAACGGTGGGAGGTGGCAGAAGTCGGAAGGAGTAAGGTACCGGAGTAGAAGGGGATATTTATGTTATGTAGACTGCGGCGTGGCAGGACATGGAAAAACGTGGCTAGTATTGGTTGGTTGAGATGGATGAGTTTTGGATCGGGGGGTAGTGGTAATCCGTAACATGTTGGATCGCATTACTAACGAAAGTTTAGATTAGACAGCACAGCGGTGAAGTGCAAGTGAGTCAGTAGCTACGTGGCAAGGCACGTGGCTTGAACATCTGACAGAGCCACTTGTCTGTTCTTGGAAGGAGGATTCCTGTCACTGTTCTTCACTCGGGCCTCAAATCAATTTCAATGGATTCCCGTCAAACGGAGAAAACAAATCATCTTCTTCAACTTAACATACAATTCTTGCTTGGTATAAGCCATTTTATTTTCACAAGAAAGAGAAAATGATCTTCATTTTCGATAATGGATAGTCTACACCATCAAGCCAGATGATTTCAGGTGATAAGAGCAACTCAAAGCAAAAGCCCAAG